CTGCTTGATTTCCACTGAGTTTTACTTCTCTCTGTGCACATATATGCTCATCAGTTTGAATTTAACAGTGAGTACATGTGGTATTTGTTTTTCCATTCTTGAGATACTTCACTTAGGAGAATGGTCTCCAGTTCCATCCAGATTGTTGCAAAAGGTATTAATTCATCTTTTGCAGAAGAAATATTTAAAAGCAGACTTTGGATCCAGCTACTTAAGAATACTCAGTCTTGAAATTGCTCCAGAATATTGGACAATCTGGTCATGCTTTGAAAACTCAAGAACTGAGCTCCTATAGATGATAAGAAAGACTTCTCAAACTCATAATGCCTGAGTTATCCAAAGATCACCCTCATACTCTGAACACTGCTGAAACCCAAGAAGTACGCTGGGAGAGGGGAACCCCCAAATAAAACAGAACACCCTCCCAGCAGTCAGAAATCAATGCCACAAAACTGAAATTCCTTTGCATTTCTTACAGGTGAGGCCCTCCCAAGCCAGTTCCCCTTGGAGCGTTCCTTTACTTGCAGTTCACACATACTTCTAACAAGTTTGGGCATATGGTTTTCCAGCATACCATAAATTAGAAGCAGCAAATTAGAAAGGGAGAAGTTGCTAGCATAAGCATCGTGGGAAGAGCCAAAATGTGATGAGCTGCAAGTCCAAGAAAAAGAATACCTACTATAAGAAATGGGCAAAATAACTCAATTATAATTCATAAGGGTGTTTATTCACTCATCATTTGAGAGAAAAGCTTTTAGAAATAGTAAGAAATCCACACAGGTATTTGTCCCTTATCATAACAAGAACAGTCTCAGGTTTATAGGTATTCAATATCTATATATATATATATATATATATGGAATGAATGCATGAGTAAATAAAGACACATTGTGGGGCCACATTGTCACATTTGTCCTAGAGATATTGCCATAGATGAAAATATTTTATGCTTATGATTCATTTTTAAAATAGTGATTTTAAAAACAGAGAAGAAAATATTTGACCTCAAAGAGCAAGAGAATCAAGAACACAAGGACTCTGGAAATGTTATAGACTCCATATAAATAAAATAACTAGTTAATCTAGTAAATTGTGCTTTCTTTTATAAAGTCAACATATTCACAAATGAGATCATTGCTTATAGGAAATTTTTTCCTATTGAATTTTATTTACTCCAAAACATTCAGTAGTTTTTAAGCTATGTAAGTGGGACCTAAAGTAGCACAAAAGATTTCAAACAGAGAGATCTGCATTTTAATACCATATGACTCAGGATATACAGCAGGGGAAAATAAATAGAAAGAACCACACCCTTTCTACAGAATTGGCCATCAAAGCCAGTTCAACTGTCTAAGACAAATTAGCAGTAACTTACTCTTAAGGAATTAATGCCACGATAAGGAAGCATCCCTCTTGATCACTGTGACCAAATACGTCACTCTTTCATTCTTAAAATGTGACAAAGTAATGAGATCAATTTTGTAAGACTATAAGACCACTAGTGATTCATCAATGACTTCATTAGTAGTGATTACCCACAATTAGGTAGAAAAAAATATGTCCTGAATCCTTTCAGGTGCTCCAACAAATGTAATTAAATAAAATGGGGGGAAAGATCGAAAGGAGTATAATGTGATCTACATTTTCCTTTTTCTTCCTCTTATTCTCTTATCATCTTGCTGTACACCCCCTGCCAATTCTCCTAAGATCCATTTTGCAATTTCCTTCAAAGGGAATCCTTCTTGCTTCTGATATAAAATTCACCAATAAATATATTCATAAATAAATACAAACCCTGTGTATATTTGCCTTTTAGAACCATATTCTATCTTTGCTTTCATACATACATTTTGCCTGCTATAACTTTTCACTTCCTTCTTTGCAATCTTTCTCTCCCTGATTAGAAGGTCTACCTTTTTTTCATGAAAGTTATTCATCTCCTACTAATTCATCCCCAAAGATCATCCTGGAATCTTATTTATTAGCATCTTTAAACACTTACTGTGTGCCAGTTGATAGGGTTGTGGATGGCATTAAATAGCTTTCCATTTCCCCAGAGATGTCTCTCTAGTTTTCACACTAATCCCCTTAGGGAGGTTCTATTCTTATCGCCATTTTATAGATGAGGAAACCGAGGCTAAGACAACCTAAGTAACTTGTCAATGTTCGCCCCATGGTGAAGCTGGGATCAGGACCCATATAAGTCTACATTCCCCAGGCTGAGGATTAGTAACAGGTCGCAGACCTGTTAGGGACTGGGCCACAGAGCTCCGCCCTCCCCTTCCCCTCACCTCCTTACCCCTATCAGTGGAAAAACTGTCTTCCATGAAACTTAGGGAAGGGGGGATACACAGCAGGAGGTGAGTGGTGGGTGAACGAAGAAAGCTTCATGTGTATTTACAGCTGCTCCCCATTGCTCGCATCGCTGCCTGAGCTCTGCTTCCCCCACCCCGTCCTTCCTCCATGGAAAAATTGTCTTCCATGAAACTGGTTCCTGGAGCCAGAAAGGTTGGGGACCACTGTTCTAGCTCTCAAAAAATCATTACATTGTCTTGCATCGATATTTTCTCCTTGAATTTAATTCAGCCAATGTGGAGCATCTACATAAAAATGTATGTATATGTACAACTTTTATTACTTAAGAATTCAAAGACATCCAGGTATAACACCAACTGTATCTGGGTATATACTCAGTATTTTCTTTATTGATCTAATATTGATAGGCAGCTCCTCAGCTCTGCCACTAGTTCCAAATTTGCTTTTTAATTGATCAGATTCCAGAATAAGAGAAAAAAACCCATGTGTTTTACCAAGGTAGAAGGGCAAAATATATATGAATTTCATAGCTAAATCAGAGGTCCACCTAGAAAGTGAATGGCTTTCGCTGTTGTTTAGGAAAAGAAAAGGCTTCTGAGAACATGGGAACAATGCAAGTAAAGAGAAAGTTAAGAGGCTCTGAAAAAGAAAGAGAGGATTTGGGTTCACCTATGTGAGAAAGAGGGATCAGGCCAGAAGGACAAAGTGGGCAACGAAGGGCTGCCATACTGAGAGAGGCCAAGTTGCTCTGTGGGATGAGGGAGCCAGGGCAATATCCCCTGTGACATGTGTTTTTTTGTAAGGAACAAAATACGCTTTTAAGTGTGCTGTCTGATTATCAGTGAAAGTTTTGCTCCTGTGATAAATGTGATTCCATGGTGGCTTGGATGACAAATGGGTTTCAGGATGGGGCCAAGAAGAAGGGCCTTTGCCCTTCTTTTCCAGTGGACACCAGAGTGGTCATAAAGGAGCAGCCACAGGGAACAGAGAAAATACCTTCAATGTAAGCAGAAAATGGAGCAGTGGTAATCCTGAAATTATAATCCCTCAGAGACATACTGTGGAGAGCTTTGGCTTTGTATCAGAATGGGGGTTTGAATCAATTTATCCTAATCTAAAGGGGCTAAATATCCCTAGAGGACATTGCAATTCCAATAGAGAAACTCAACCCACTAGCTTATTTTTTGTAAAGAACAATGTTGTTTGCTAGAACCAAGGAATATACAATGGCAATGCAGCTTCTTAAAAATAAATCTGGATGAACAAGCATATGCAGTCACCTAATGTGCTGACTTCAAAATTGCCTGATGAAACTTTTTGCCTGTTAAACCTGTTATTGTACATAATGAAAGATTCTATATGCACTAATCACAACATAGAGACTTATGTCTGATCATAGCTTCTAAAATTCATGATACAGGGATTTTTAGTTATACTCAACACATTTTTCCTTCAGAAACTGGATTGGTTGTTCTAGATGCTGTGAATGATATAAATTGGGCTCGTAGTTGGAAGAAATCTAAAGGATCAAGTATCCCTGGGTTTCAGACAAAACCTCTACTCTGAATACATTCAAAGGTATGTGGATTTTATTCATAATTTGGTATCTTTTTATTGTGCTGATTTATTTCTCTGCATTTCATGTTTAAAAGATGTAAATGTATCCCACATTGCTCATACTTTATGCCATCAATAGTTATTTCTTCAGTTGGCCCATAATTAAATTAGACTCTTTAGCTGGTCCATAATTAAATTAAATTAAACTAATAATGATTGCTTAAATGAATTATTTTGCTTTCTGATGCAGCAGAGTGTTTACCTGTCTATAGTTCTTTAAATTTTAGTTCCAGAATCCCAAAGCTCTTTTGGGGGCCAAATTTCATAGCAAAATATTTATTTTAATTACTTATCAATTAAGGTAAAAATAATACTTTCAGAGGCTGTGGTCTGCTACTTTGAAAAACCTCTTATTTAATTACATCAAATACAACCATTAACAAAATGTTTTTTCTCATTAAGCCAACCTTTAGAAAAAACAGATTTTGGAGGTAGAAAACTTCAGTGCACTTTTCATAGCCAGCATTATTACATGTGATCTTCACTTCCCATACAAAATGTAAGGTCTTGTCCTGACAGTTTTTCATGTTAGTTAATAACTTGTGTCACAGGATGGCCTGTTTTGCTTCATGTTCTAAGGGTCTTATTATTTGTAGAATAATTACAATGCAATATCAAACAAAAGGAAGATGCCATTGACTGAAGATGGAAAATTTTAGATAGAAATAATTCAAAGTTCATTAAGGAATCAAAGAATATTATTACTGTCCCCTCCTGTTGGTTCAACCACATTTTTGCTCCACAGCTGGAGCTCAGAGCTGTTACTAGAGGGTCTTGCCTGAAGTTCTATAGATTCGAACATCTGGAACTAAACCCCACTCCCTCCTTAAATTATTTGGCAGATTACTTAATATCTTTTCTCAAAGGATTGTTCTTCATTTTTAGCAGTAGATTTTTCTGTGCCTCCTTGTTCTAAAAGTATAAAATGCTGAGTACTTTGATGATCTCCCCAACTTCTAGAGCCTACTCTATTCTTTTAATTATTAATTATAAATGCCGTTTAGCTTCTATGACTACAGAGCAAGTGCAGGAAAATGGCATGCAAAATCATGTAATGATAGATCATTCATGTCCCCATAACTTTTTCAGCTCTCAGCCTAAATTAAATGCATCTTTACCATTATTCTGACTCCAGAAACAGTGAGAATGGGCTGAGAACTGGAAATCATATAGCAATGAAGTGACCTCACAAAGAATAACCCTATCCTTTTCACTAGCAACAGACTAATGTGGATTATGTGTGTTTTATGGAGCATTAATTATGCCCATGTTTGAGAAGAAATATGAAAAGAGGGTATTGACTTACATTTCAGAATCACCAAGAAATGGGGACCTGGATTTTGTTTGCCTGCCTCCTGGGAGCAGCTTTCGCCATGCCCGTGAGTAAAACACCCCTTGCATAAGTCAGTGTCGAATTTCCCAAGCTTAGAAATAAAAATCTTCTCCACCGTTGGTAAACTTTAGGGTTTAAAACGGTATAATATCAGATGTTCTCAAACGTCTCTGTGATGAAGGAACACTTGAGGAGATTGTTTAAAAAGATAAGATTCTCAAATGCCTCCGCCAAACATTCTGATTCAGTACAGCTGAAGCAGGGCCCAGGACTCTGCATTTTTTTCCTCTCTAAATATCAAAATAGCTGTATTTAGAATAGCTAAAGAGATATACTATTGACTCATTACCCTTGAGGACTCTGCATTTTTACAAGCAACCCCAGGAGATTCTGTTGAAACAATTAGCTTGTAAATATCACTGCCCATCACATGGAGGAAGTTCCTTCACATGGAGGAAGTTTTCAGAAGGGACCTTTGGAAAAGGCCTCCTGAGAAAGTGTTTAATCAGCATTAGGCAAATATTACAAAACTACAAGTTTTCTCTAAAACCCAATTCCTCACAGGTTTCCAAATCTCTTCCAGCCCTCCACATACCACTGCTGTTACCCTTCAGGGGGTAAGATTTCTGTGTTAGGAATCCCCTGCTTGAACCATCTCCTTGTTCTTAGAGGCCTCACCCCTTTGGGGTGAGTAAGTACTAAGTGAGTATCTACTAAGTACCTGGCTTCCTTGTGGTTGCCTAGGCTCCTACCTACACCCAATACAAATTGATACATTTTACATTCTAATGTACCAAAGACCAGGATGTCAGACCCATTCTCTCCAGACACAGGTACATAAGGGCAGAGAGCTTAGATCACATGCAGGCCAAGCAGGCTCCATCTGCTTGTTGGTGGCATAAAGAGCAGTTGATACAACTAGAAGCCAGCAAGTTTGCACACCTGCCTCCTCTCTTCCTCTCACCCACAAGACCTAGATTCTGTGCTCTGCCCTCCTGAAACCCTGCACTGTGGCCATTCCTAGTCCCTTGAGGGGTCCCTGCATTTTTCCCACTCCTGAACTCAGCATCCCCCTGCTTGGTATCTATCAAGATGGTACAGGAAAGGCAGTTACCTGATTAAAATAATAATCCATATTCAGATGGGAGTGAAGGGACACTGTTATGAAATACAAATATTTTAGAGACTGTAATAGAGCTGATCCCTAATGAAGCCAGTGTCTGAGGGAGATTTTCTGCCTGACTCTTCTCTCCCTCTCCCGGACCCCAGAGCCAACCAAAATTCCACAACACAGGCCCCAGTCACTGGGCCCCTCTTTTGAAAGGACAGGCAGTTCTGGTTTAGATCATCATTCAGGTTGCTTTTTATTTTGAACTTTTAAAATATTCTGCCATAAAATCATTGACAGAATAATAAAAAGGATCGGCCTCAACTCAATAAATCAACTCTGTCATTTTCCAAAGGATTTATGTTTCCACTTTGCTATGCCCCTTCTTGTTCTTAAATTCATCAATAGTTCCCACCTTGTGGTTTCTTTCGTTGCTGTTGAATGCTGTTTGCTTTGCATGTCAGTTATAAGGAACCCCTTTGATACTTAAGCAAGGGAATGTCTGTGAGACAATTCTCCTCTTTTTGGGATTTCTTAACTGTGTAAGAGAAACATGCCTTTCTCCCCAACATGGAGTGAGTTTTATTGAGTAAACTGGTGGGCAGGACAGGGTAGGACTCATTGACACCGGGGGAGGAGTTGTCTAAAAACCACCGGAGAATAAATGTGTGCTGGTTTCTGCTTCCAGGTCTCCTGCCATAAGACTATAAGCCCAGGGGCAGTCAGTTAGTTGTTCTGGACCTCTTTAAATAAGAGGACTCCTCTCCTGAACAGCATACATGTTCAAACTAAAAAGTACACCTCAAATATGCTCTGCACTATATAGATTTTTTTTTAAAAGTAGCTTCAGTCTCCCTTAATGTGAACAATTGCATATTGACTTAATCTCTTCCTCTCCCTCTCTCTCTCCTTCACTCTCTCCTTTTCTCTCTTTTTCTATTCTCCTTCCCCATCCCTATAAAAGCTACCACCTCATCCTGGGCACCCTGGTTATATCAACTTCAGCTATGAGGTAATTTTTCTCTTTACTAATTTTGACCATTGTTTGTGTTAACAATGCCCTGGGGCTCTGGAGAATAGTGTGTTGATTCTTCATCCAAGATGTTTCTTGAATGATCCCAATTTTACAGTTCTTACCACCAGCTTCCCAGTTTAAGCCCTGATGGGTGGCCTCAAGCCTACATTGTCCCAGCATCCTCTTACCTGGCCACTCTCAGTCTGTCCTCCTAAACATGGCTGTAATTGTATCTATCATGAACTACCACTTAGGGGGGCTGCACGGTAGAGTGGAAAGAGAACTCTGGCTGAATAGCCTTGTTGTGTCCCAGCCAGTACGAAGTGGGGATTAGGTAAGATATTATCTAAGATTTTTGTCGAGCTCCAAACTCCTGATTCTAAGACATTTACACTTGATGTGAGTCTCTCACTTGGCTTCAGTGAAAGATGAGTGACTAAGTGTTGTACGAGGGACTGTGCAGAGGAATGGAAAGCACCAGAGCTTTGGGTACCGGGTTTGAGGTTCTCCATTCCTTACTAACTATATGACTTTGGGCAAATCATTTTCTCTCTCCGGAACTTTGCTTCCCTCGCTGGAGAAGCGAAATAATTATGATAAGCATATTTCAAAACATTGTTTGGAAAGTAAAATAGTTATTGCATATGAAAAGCATTTTTTCAAGTATAACTTGAGCAAGGTTAATAATTATTTGTTATATTGATTAAATGCTGAACTACTATATGCAGGAGCCCAAAACCTGAGGTTAACTAAGTATATACTGTTCAGAAAAGAATGAAATTCTTCCTTCTCTCACAGGTTCAGGTAATAATCTGTGAGTCTGTTTACTTATACAAGCTGAAGAAAAATGTTAGTAAAAATTTAAGGCAAGATTCTCTGTTAAACCTTAAAAGGTCGACATATTGGAGCAGTAAATCTGTGTTTCTAGGATGAGAGACAGTGTTTCCACATCCTTTATTTTCTAACCATGGTGACGTTAAATGAAAAAGAATGAAATGACTATTATGTCACATTAATATGCCATAATTTCTGTTTGTTTTGCCCTTGCAATGAAGAGCAGGAGCTACATAATTAAACAAAGTCACCATTTTTGCAACCTCAGTTAACTTAATGAAGCTCTTTAGCTCTCCATGACCTTATCTGCAAAAGCGAGGGTGAGGATACCTGCCTCAGAGCATGTGAGAAAACATGGAAAATGTGTGCAATGGATGTAACACAGTGCCTGACACATAGGGAACACCCAACAAATGTTTACCTTCTTCTTTCTTTTGTAGAACTCACATTCTCAGGCTATCAATACACACAGGACTGAATTAGTGAGTCTATATTTCATACTGCATTAGTGAGTTTCTATATCAGAATGAGGTAAATTAAATCAAATGCATTCTCATATCTCTTTCTCTTAAGGTGCTTACCCCTTTGAAGTGGTACCAGAGCATGATAAGGCCACCGGTAGGTAGATATTTTGTTCTTTATTCCCTTAAAATATTAGGCATGCATTTAAATTCCCATGTTAAGTGAAATATGTCTACTCCACATAGAGACCCTAATGGGAAATTTAGCTGTAAAAGGTCATGTGTGTGTACACAGTTAGAAATTCTTGCAGAGGAAGAAATGAATAAAATATTCCTATGGCCATATGGCAAAGCAAACACTGCTGCTTGTCCAGTTGGAAGTGACCTGAGCCTCTCTGTTTCTCACCAGTACCCTTCCTATGGTTACGAGCCCATGGGTGGATGGCTGCACCACCAAATCATCCCCGTGCTGTCCCAACAGCACCCCCAGACTCACACCCTGCAGCCTCATCACCACATCCCAGTGGTGCCAGCTCAGCAGCCCGTGGTCCCCCAGCAACCAATGATGCCCGTTCCTGGCCAACACTCCATGACTCCAACCCATCACCACCAGCCAAACCTCCCTCCGCCCGCCCAGCAGCCCTTCCAGCCCCAGCCCGTTCAGCCGCAGCCTCACCAGCCCATGCAGCCCATGCAGCCCATGCAGCCCATGCAGCCCCAGCCACCTCTGCACCCCATGCAGCCCCTGCCGCCACAGCCACATCTGCCTCCGCTGTTCCCCATGCAGCCCCTGCCGCCCATGCTTCCCGACCTGCCTCTGGAAGCTTGGCCAGCAACAGACAAGACCAAGCGGGAGGAAGTGGTGAGTATGCCTTGAAGCCACTACAATACAAATCTTGTGGAAATGGGGCAGCAAACCTGGCCCCAGAGCTCTAAGGTCTCAGACAACCCAGGGTCTAGAGTTGCAGTAGCTATAGGTCTATGATTCTATTAGTCAGCAAACTCAAATAATGATATAGTCAGCAAACATTGAAATAAAGCTGTCACTAAAAAAAATTCACAAAAGAGAGAACTCATAGGCTGCTGTAATACAAAAATCTGCATTTTAACATCTATAGCTGTGTATGCATGTGTTATACTTTTATATTATAAACAAATTTATCTACATGTCTTAGTAATTAAGACCACAGTTTTCATAGTGGTTTTAAGTTCTACCATTATTGAATTTCTACTAGAATATATATTACTAAAATGCATTAATTTTAAAGGCAACAGAATAAAGGAGTATCAGTTCTGTTATTTCAAAGGTTTGACTAGCAAGAATTAGGCTAGAATCGCACTGAGGATAAAAAGGGGGAGTAATTTTTGAGAGTGAAGGGGTGCAAATATTTGAACAAGCTACCAAAGGTAGGTGGGAAATCTCATTTAAAAACCTAATGGAAGATTACCTGTCTCCAGTGGCTTTCAATCTAAGTTGGAGGAGGCTAAACTAAACAGGCTGTTAGATTCTTTTTCAGTGCTGAGATCATATAGATTAAGCTTTTAGCAAGAAGTTACCATGAATAAGCACAAAATCTTCTTCTGTTGCCAGAAGCTCTTACAAATGAACGGGAATAGTCAACAAAATGACCCTTATCCACATCCATAAACTCTCACTTCTGTGTACGTGAGATTATGTGATTCTACCATGTATATGTATCCAAAAGTAATTCTAATTTATAAAAAAAAATGCTATTGATGACTTGCTACTGAGCAACAGAGAGAGGTGAGGTGGAAATGACCTGGGCGGGGAGCCAGGACACCTGGGTTCCAGATTTGGTTTTGCCCCCAAAGAGGAGGCAGTATTGTACAAGTCACTTCAAATTTATGGATGTTTTCTTTTCTTTAAAATGGGGGAAAGCGACTAAATCAGATCATTTTTAAGCCACTCCCAAGTATAAATACCATAGTTTTTGAATTTAAAAAATCATATGTGTCATACATAGTTTCACAATTGTGAGCATATTTATGGGGAATATGGGGCAGAATGTTTGAAAATTAAATCCCAAGTAACTTGGTACCTATCATTGATTATTCTAATCTAAGGTACATGTTCTCTCTTTGCATAGAAAATGCATTTATCTCTTTATTAATAATTAATGGACTTTATAATGTGCTCACACTTTGCCAAACTATTTATGGGAAGGCGACTATGGGCAGGTAGTTTGAACTCTTTAAAACTCAGTTTTTTGTGTGTGTAAACTTAGAGTCTAAATATTGATAGTTTCTTAGAGTTGTTTTATGGAAATAAAATGATGAGCTTGGAGTCTTCATGCAAGAAGTACTCAATGAAAGGTAGTAATTGCTATTTTATTATTAAATAATAGGCTTCAAGTGTCCTGAAGGTAGGAGCCTCCATCATGGACACCTAATATCTAATGAAAATGAGATAACAAAGAAACTTTGGAAATTAAAGAGTTCAATTTAAATGGCTATACATCATTTTGACAAATGAAGCCATACATGTTATTGTAAATGACATCCACTCGGAGTGTTTATAAATTATTTCAATTGTTCCTTTTGCTATTGTTTTTTTTTTTCAGGATTAAAAGATGATAATATGAGAGGGGAAGTGAAGTAGATACTTCAATTGCTTTCAGGAATGACACAAGAACACATGACTTGTACTTACAACCACATTACTTACCAAATTGTGTAACTAAAAATAAGTACCATTAGCAGACAATAAAATGTTTTAAAAATTATTCATGTCTTTGTGCTGAATTGAACTTAAAATTTTCATATCACGTGAGACAACATATTATAAATGAGTATTCCTGAATAAGGTAGGAACTACTTATTTATAGCTACAAAGTTGACCATTTAGCAGGTAAATAAGGACTCTATTTCTTTTTAGAGAAAATTTAAATTACACTGTCTCAAATTTTTTAAAAAAGTGGAAGTTTATACATCAGTTATAATAATTGATAAAGTGAAAACTTGTTAAGATGTACAATCACAGAACCTGAACCAAATGAAGGGAAGTTTATAAGAAAAATTCTTTACATTAAAAAAGACAACTCTTAAAAATGTTTATATTACAAAACAAATGTGGATTTGGAACACTGGTTTTATACTTCATACCACGTTAGTAATCAAAATCTGATTTTTGATCTCATCTACAGAAAAAGATTTTTAAATGAAATTATGTGATATGTATAATAATGTACTGAATTTAAAATTATCGAAGTAATTGGTTTCTTCAAGAACAATTTTATTAATGGAGCTTCAAATAGAGAATTGCAGTGATCTTATATATAAGTCCTTTCAGTTCAAAATCGTCAAGATGATAAATTGTACTGCATAGTCTTAAAAATGTTAACAGATGCATAAAATGGATTCAAAACAAGTTTTCTTTCCCGCTTATATTTATATTTGAATCCTTTTTTCCTCCTACACCCACACAGAATTGTAAACAGTCTTTGCAGGGTTTATATTACACAGCACCCACAGTAACTTTATTCCAGTACCTTTATGATTAAGGCCCCTTAATCATTTTCTGGAATGAATAAACATAACTTTACTGGGAGGGTGTTGATATTCAAACGACTCGATTTTCGAGAATTTAGATTCATTTTTTACAAGATAGGAAAGCATCTAATCAATTGGCATGGGCCAATTCCACTCAATTGAGTAAACACTCATTAAGCATCCTCTAGGGCAAGGCACTATTTCATGTGCTGGTGAAAATAGTCCCCATCCTAAGGAATCTTGAGTCTACCAAAGGGATAAAATAAGCTCACAAATAATGAATATGGCTAACATACTTAGCTACCAGTCCAACAGCTTTCCTTGCCATTCCTTCCTTGCTGGCAGAATGGGAATCAATCCCAGCATTCAGGCTTCTACCAGCTCAGGAGAGATGCACCCCCTCCCTCATCCCAGGGAGTGAATGTTCATTCCTCCATGCCAACTATGGCATCAATTACCATAACTCTATTTCCCTTACAACTGATTGGTTTAGGGATGGGTTGTAGTAGAACCTGAACACTGAAAGAGGCCAAGGGGAAGTCTCCTGGGAGAGGAGGAGCTTCTGGGAAAAAATATTTACCTTTAATTAAAAATATATAGGTGCTGATACATGCTAGGAAAAAAAAAAAGTGCTGTTTGTCTTTAGATCTATTTGAGGATGATATGCCTGGTGCTGTGTCCACCATCTTGTGAGAGAAGGGGCAAGTGGAAAGATAGAAAACCCCTAGATTCTCAACGGCATCATTGTGCCCCTGAATTAACCAACCCAGGACCATGTACTTCTGTATGGATGACTCACTTTGCTTCTATTCTAGTTTTTTCCAATTGTGGGTGATAACTGATTACTGGGTCATGACATCAACATCAGGACCCCCACCATTTATACCACGCCAGCAAACTATATCTTCCAATGATATAAAACTTATCTGGACAGGGCTAAGGAAATAACTTGCCTGAACAAAATCCTCTAGAAGACAGATACATAGATAGCTAGACATAGAAATACATATAAATATATAGAAATAGACCTTGGTGTATGTTCCAAAACATGTGCTCCCCCTTCCTTTGCCTTGATATCATATAAGAGGATTCTCTATTTGGGAAAATCATTGACAACATAATTCTCTCTCATTCATTCTCATTCTCTCTTTCTCTCTTTCTCTCTCTCTCTCTCTCTCTCTCTCTCTCTCTCTCACACACACACACACACACACACACTCATGTATAATCATACATTTAAATCACATTTTGAATTACAGGAAAAATTTCAGGATCCTAAGGACCTGTTCACTATGAACTGATATGTACTGCATTAAGTTAATTTTACAAGAAACTAAAACTTATCTATTAAATGCCCAAATATTCTTTTAATATAGTCATTTTCATGGCAGTCATCTAAAATTGACATTGTTCTACTATATTAAACATATGGTAATCACAATATAGCATCTTCTTGATGGCCCAGAATGAGACTTATGAACACCTATCAGAGGTAGGTGTGTTGTCTTGGAAATTCAGAGGAAATAGGATTCTTACACCTGTTTTAAATGATCGCATACTGATTTCTCTCATTCTAATTGTTCTTCACTGCTCTTGGCTATCACTTCTTTTTGTTAATGTATATTTACATCTTCAAACGTGTAATATCTTGTATACATATTCTCCCTAGCAAATAAAGTGCATTGGCTTTGGGATTGTTATTCTGGAAGTTCCACAGTCACTTTGAGACTATTTTACTTCCTGATTCCCCAACTTTGGCAAATAGCTGCAACTGACAAAATTCTGACATGAAGATGTATGTGTCTGTAACCACACAGTGAAATATAAGGTGATGCAAACAGAATAAAACAGAGCCTTTCTAATTAATTAAAACCCAGGCTCAGTCAACTGTCCAATATTATATGCATTTGAATTAAATATGGAAGAAAAATCACAAGATATTAATAATCAAGGTTCAAAGTCCAGGCTGAAATAAATAGCAACATTGATCATAAATGCACTAATAAACATAAACTTATATCTACAGGATACTTAAATCAGTAAAGAAGTAAAATATTATTTATAATGCTATGTCTTTGCAATTAAGCTAAAGAGACAGATGAACTTTTTAAAACCAGTTGAATAAACCACCTCAAGAAAACCCTTATCTCACCATAATTACTCCCACATCACTAATGAATTTGAGATTTGCTCAGTTCTCATCCACTCTTTGTTGGTGATGTATGTATAATTTTTTAATAATTTTTATTTATAAAAATTATATTTTATAATTTTTATAATTTTTTCCAGGGTGCAAATATATGTCTATGAATTACCCTAAGACAGTCACCAAAATGCATAGGAAGACATATGCAAAGATTTTAATTACAGCATTATCTATACCAGTAAGAAATTGGACTCCACTTAAGTTCTCTTATGTCCGTCTGAAGGAATACTGTGATATAAAATGTGTTTTGGAAGAAGATTTATTAGCAGAGAAAATGTGATGAAATAAAATTTGAAATCAAGATTGTATAGAATATGTGAATGGTATATATAACTGTAACATGGAAATAATTTAAACATGCACAGAAAAAAAATTAGAAAGGAAATGTAGCTGTTTGTGTGAAGATCTGGTTTTTCTACAGTAAGCATGAATTACTTCTTTAATCAGAAATAAATTTAATTCTTAAAAAGTTTGTTCTTCATTTTTTTCTCCTTAAGTACAGACACATCTTCTTCCTTAAGTTCCCTTTGATGCAAGCTTTGGATCTTGGCATGTGCCCTTCAGGTGCTTTCCGAGCAGTAGAAATCAGTTCATGTGTACTTGATTTTCCAGAGAAGTATTTTGACCAAAGAAGAGTGAAGGGAAAAAAGAAAAGGATTTAGCAGAAACAAAAATGAACAGTACAATCCAACCAACAACAAGAGATGAGCATTATAAAGTATAAGAAGAATTAGAAACACCACAAATAAGACAAAATAGAGAAATGACAGTTAAGGCTGCTCCTGCTGAAATTCTGCTGGAGGCTGACTAGGTTCAAAGGGCCGGCAGGTGACAGGCAAAAAACATTGTTTAATCCCCAAATCCTTAAACAGTTGGGGTTTGCAGTGATTTTTCATATTAAATGAGTTCTCTTTTGATTTCAATAAATGCCTGAACTATGGCTGGTATAAAACTCACGAATTACTCAATTTCACTTT